ATGTATGTACATAGCAGGATAGGGTCCATGTCATTTTCATCCTTTTATGCTTGAACTTATTAAGTCATTTATGAAGTGAACTTATGATCGTGATTCAGTAATATTTTTTAATGCTTTCATGTTTCATTCTTGGAATTTGAAAAAATATGATTTACACTTGAAATTAAAAATACAATAACGTCCCATTTTCTTCATTCACAGATTGCATGTCGTTGATCATCAACACTGGTTGTTCACAGTAATATGAAGACAACGATATGAAATACGTGTAAAAAGCCAGTCAGTGTTAGATGACAGTCTGACATCCGTGACTATTATTACACACTTCTATTTTAACATACAATCCTTTATTCTGGCCAGTGGTCAGGTTTCACGAATATCTTTTTGATGGAGTGATATGATATTCTAGAGGTAACTAATGAACTTTTTATTTCATTTCTACTTGGTCGAAAAAAATATTTACGAACAGAGCTTACTTCTTTCTTTAAATATTTTAGTCCTTGTTTTTATGCTAAAATGAAAAAGGTAATAAATGTAATATTAATGTTCAATAACATTGTTGAGATAACAAGCCAGATATTAACCATAAAAGCTATTTTCTTAGTTGATTTTCTAGCTTCTCCGCATTTACATTAAGTGGTAAGCATCATCGTACTTGCGAAGTCCACAAAATTAAAGTCAATAATGTTTTCAGATAATTAGTAATTACAAAGGACACGAGGCATAAAATAACCATTTATTTCACTGATTGTTTTCAATATATCATGCAATAAATTTTATTTAGCCTTTAAAATTGAGCGCTTCTGTTTTGTGCAAGATAATAGGATACAAAACAGTATCCCGTCTTGGGAAATTAGCGCACATGTTGGATGGGAATTCTTTGAGTGATTTAGTTAGCTTTGACAAAAGAGATAAACCTCTTAGCAAGATAAATAGGCTCTTCGTAATAGCTTTTTTCCATAATAAGTTAAATTTGTATTTCAGTAAATGTAAGTTCATGTCAAACGAATTTTTCTTGATATTTAGGTCAAGACTTGGCCCATTTGATGCTAATTATTAGTCCTGCTTTCAATGTGTATTTCAATCGTGTGACAGCCTGAGTACAATTAAATATGTTGTTTAAATTAAAAAGTTCTTACCTTATAAAGTTTGATTATGAAAAGTTTGCATTTCTGTCAATACCAAAGCTGCAGTATCCCAAATAATTATTAAAACACGTCTTTGTGCAAATACCTCAATTTTTGACGAAGTCCTCTTCCAAATGAGCACATATTTCTAAACCGTCTGATTTAACCGATGAATGTTCAACACGGGGTGCAAACACACATTTGATTCTCAAATTTGACCTAAATAAATGACTTGTGGTCAGCATGTACACGGATTCAGGAAATTAATGAGGATTTATGACGCTCTATTATTTGTGATTGGATGGTTCTTTTGAAGGAATACATGTGGAATAAGAAGGCTCACAAAGGAATCATTCTAAAGATTGTATCAGGTTCAGATTACAAGACCAGAACATTACCCGAACCATCCAAAGACACAGAGCCTTTACAATGTGAGATGTCTTGATTAACACTGTCCAATAGTGTACAATCTTACAGTTTCTGAAACTGAGAAAGATTACAAATGTAAACGCATTAGTAGAAGTAGTAAAAGTTACTACTTTTACAAATCAGTTGAAGTAGACAAATTCAAAGTAATTTTGGGAAAACGCGTCAATTTGACAATTATATTTTGCTTCTTATGATTTCAGGTCATCCTTTCAAATTATCTTGCAATAGTTTAAGAAAAGGTGAACACCCCTTCTAAAAAATAAATTGTTGACGTCCCCGTTGTCAATTCTAATGGATTTGGATATTCTCCCATCATCTTCAATAACATTTATATTTGACAAGATTTCTCTTGTTTCAGAAAATAATATATTAACATATCATTAATATTCACACTCTATAACCCTTCTAGTTTAAGATCATGGCATGATTTCAAGCCTATGATTTCATCCTTACATAAATATAGTAATCACTGACTAAATACGACACAAGAATGATAATAATGTGTATTTTAAAGATATAGCATTTATGACATGTCTAATTATTCTAGAGCACATTAGCCTGGCAAGTTTGTTCCCATTATGGACCATCACATACACAGGGTCACTCGAAAATGCAGAACCCTAACCTTTTAATATTCAAAGATTTGTGGGTTCCGTTTTTCAGCCACCCTGTACATATCCGTGTGATAATCGGTTTGGAATATGTGGTATATCCTTTGAAGTACAAAATCTTACCGTGAGCCCTATTAGGCCTTGGTAAGATGTCAATACTTTACTTCGGATATTCCACATTTCCAAAACGTCCCCAAATGAAATGTGAAATCTTTCCTCAGACAATTTGGGCCCTTGCTAGAATATCTATATTTCCCCCAAGATACACGACATCAGTATAACCTCACAAGCCTCCAGAGTGAAATATGAAATCTTCCCTAAGAACCCATTGCTCCTTGGTAGGATATCTATATTTTCCCCAGGATACATAACAGAACATATGCAGAACCTCCCAAACCTCCATCCAGATGAAATATGACATCTATCCTTAGATTCTCTTTGTCCTTGGTAGGATATCTACATTCCCCCAGGATACACGGCATATGTAGACCCCAAACCTCCATCCAGAGTGAAATATGAAATCTTTCCTTAGACCCACTGGGCCATTGGTAGGATATCTATATTCCCCCAGGATATACAACATACGACACAGGATATTCGACATAAGTAGAACCTTCCAAACCACCAGAGTAAAATATGCTATCTTTCCTTAGACTCCCTGAGCCCTTGGTAGGATGTCTATAGTTCCCCCAGGATATACGACATAAGAAGAACCTCCCAAACATCCAGAGTGAAATATGCAATCTTTTCTTAGGCCTTCTGGGTCCTTGGTAGGATATCTATATTTCCCTCAGGATACACGACATCAGTAGAACCTCCAAAACCTACAGAATGAAATATGCAATCTTCCCTTATACCCTCTGGATCCTTGGTAGGATACCTTTATTTTCCTCAGGATACACGACATAAGTAGAACCTCCATAATGAAACATGAACTTTTTCATTAGAACCCCTTGGTCCTTGGTAGGATATCTATATTTTCCCTCAGGATACACGACGTATCTAAAATCTCTCATAATCCAACTCTCATTCAAATATAGGGGAGGGGGACAACTGCTATTATTGCATACGCTGGGTAAACCTGGATTTATAATGATCACATTTCACTCATACGTCGGTTACAAAACATCTGTTCAAGAAAAATGTTTATTTTAATGTTTAATCTTATATATTATTCAAATGTTAAGATTTTATATTTTACACTATACGAAATTGTGATGTGAAGGCATATTAAATACGTGTATGTCACACCAATATGAGATGTATACTGGTTTTCAGTGTACCATGTTGAAAATGTAATTGTAAAAATAGATATGTAGAGGTCGAGATCCCATGAGATTGTCAATGGACGATTCTGGTAGGCAGGCCAAGAGTGACAAAATATTAGAGCATTTTTTTTATTAATTAATGTATAGCATTGCTCCCATCAAAAGATTTTTGAACATGATGACCTAAATAAATCGATGCTCTATTTCAAAAATATAATTATGTGATAAGACCTTTTACCTGTAGAGAAGTACAATGTCAAATCTATCTATTAATCAATCCATTAAACAATTAAAAATTGAAAAATATAAGTATCATATCGTATAGAGAGAGAGAGAGCTATTTTGCCATGCTTTTGAAAAATATAAAATACCGTTAGACTAGTCTAGATGGTGCCAGATGATGGTACGAAGGGCAAATTTTTCATATTTTTGATTTATTAATTGTCAAGTTTGCGCAATATTAGAGGGTTACAATGTTCTCAGTGTTCAAATATTTTGTTTCATCATGAGAGGAAATTACTTGGAAAGCCGGCGTGATCTTCAACCCATCATAATCATTATACATATTTGTTGCGAGAAGTACACGACCAACTCATGGTAACATTTAAATAAACAAAAGGCTCATGTTTCTAATATCTAAATATATTGCCAAAAAGAGAATTGGAAACAAAAATATATTATAACGTGGGGAAATACCATATAAACTGTTTAATTCAAACAATACATGTATTTTCTTTCACAAATTGTGGCAGTCTTTGATTTTGAAAATATTGTTGAATAGAAAAAGTATTTTTTAGAACTAATTGCTCCTTTGTTAGGTTCTAACTTGAAAGCGTCCCTTCACTGTAATTCATACAAATACGACAATATCTTTCAACATATAATTGAGAAGAATTACAGAAAGCAAAACATTCGGAAATGTAGCTACTACACAAAAGTAGAATTATGGATGGCAGAAGAGACGTTTATTCATTATTTGACTCACAGTAGAAAAAGTATGACACCTGCTAGTTTTATAAACATAAAGGTGTTAATGCATGTAATCAGGCAACATTGGTATAACATTCACGTATATTTTTTATTTTGGAAGAAAAAACTAGTAAAGTAATCGTGGGTCATAAAAGGGGTTAAATATGGTTGGAATCGTACAATTCGGTTTATTTGTACTCTGTTTTTTCTGCTACGCCATGTACGTAATAGAGTTAACAGACAAAATATATTCGACATAAAAATGTGTTTTGTATATATTTGACTGACTAGACAGAGTTGTTGATGGGAAACTCATGTAATTATTAGTACAATGTAGGTTATGGTTTTATCCTACTCGAATTCGAATTCGGATTCGAAAAGGAGAAATGATGTACAATGAAACTAGAAGAGGTCATGACATCCATTTATTAATGGCCAATATCAGTCATAATTTGCATATAAATGGACCCTAGAGATTCGTATAGTTCTGCCCCCAATCTAGAATTGCATGTATAAATGATTATGCCAAGTGCTCTATTTAGCAGTATAATACGTCTCCCAAGTACATTTAATAAAAAGGAATCGCATATACTTACCAAACTGTGACCTCATCCATGGGTATATAGGTATCTGCTGTTGAGTACTGTTCTGGTTTTGCGACTGGTTCTGATTCGGCGTCTCTGTTTGGGGAGCTTGAGGCTGGGGTGGGGATATACTCGTCTGAAGAGGCGGAGAATTGTTATTCTCATACAGTGGGGTAGTATGATCGGCAACTGCCCCAGCCAAATAGCTTTCTACGGTGTCATCTGATATCTTACAGCTGCTATAACGCTGTATAGGCGACAATTGTTGGCCGTTTGTGTGTGAGTAGTCATCCCTGTTGTCTCTGGCTATTGTATTCTGGTTGTAATATCCCCCTTGGGGCTGCTGGTTACTTTGAATAGGCCTTATGTCGAGGCGGTCGTAAGGTGGAAACCTAGGGTAGGCAGGTTGTGATGTATCGTCATAAATAGTTGCTGTCCTTGGACTGTTCTGGTAGTTCGTAGTCATAGGCGAATTATGTCCTGCGAAGTGTTCAGTAGTCATATAGCTCCCGTTGTGATAGTAACTCATAATTGGCCTTGATTTGTAGGTTCTAGGAAGTCGACTAGTTCAAAGGTGAAGATTGACAGAAAACATACGTTGTCGTAAACGTTCTCGTTTTGTCACCTGAGGTTCCGTTCCCTCCACCTGAAAATAGTCAAAGCCATTCTTTATATTTTATTGTTGTATATTTACAGGTGCCGTCACTGATGAATCCCTAGAGACTATATCCAAAGCGTCCATGACCAGACTGATACGTTGACATCGTCCTAGGCCCGATCAAGAGCTCGGTGTTTACTCAATATGATTAGAACAATATTTATACCATAATGACATAGAGTGAGAGCTCGTCGGCTGTCAGAAAGTGACAGTATGCAGTGAATGTGCTGGGGCAGGGTGATAAGCTTCTGCAAATGACTGACAACATGACGTGTCATATTTCTTGGGACCACATAAGCGTCCCGCGCAGGAAAGACATCAGTCATCTTTTGCGACAAAGACTTAATTAAAACTGTTTCATATCAGCTTGTCAGACAACACTCTCGATACCAACAATTATTGGTTTATAAAAATATAGACTTTGGCCCCAATAGGAAAAGGAGTGTTAAATAGTAGTATTGTTCTCGGATACAATATTGCTTTCATCCATATCACAAGGCATACACCAGCGACGAGCAGAGGTCCACAGTAACCTCAATGCAATATCATATAGACAGCAAAATTACATAGTACACAGTAAAATAAAGTGATATTGTCCTTTATGCCTTCTAACTGTATTGCAAGACAGCACGAGCGATGATAAAAGTGTCAGTAGTGTACTGGGTGCTTCAACATCTGAAGATATACCTATCATAATTAAAATTTACAAACGTTTGGAGCATATAGCGCCTTTCTCTCATCGAGATAAAGGTATATACAATACCCTGATAACTATAAAGTTGACAAAATGGTAGTAAATCTAAAATGTTCGTTAACTTGAGATTACTGTGATTATTCATTGTAAAATCAAGAGTTTCGTTTACTTTAGGTTTGTTATCAAATTCTCCAGGCAATAGAATTCGCATTTATATATATATGCTAACTGACACTCCGGCAGATGTAGTTTGCTAATGACTTTTTAATTTTAAAACAACATCGATAAAATGTCTATAATCACATTATTACATGATACATCATGCATTTTATTATAAAAATAAAATACATACTCCCTCATATGATATTATTATTTTGTTAAAGAGGGTTATCTCAAATATTGTGTTTACTTTGGTTAATATAACGTTCGTTCGATGTCTGCAACAGTTATAAATATACTAATAATTGTTGGCCCTTGCTGAACTAAATGGGTAATAAACCACGGATAAGAACAAGTGGAGATAGACTAACATTATTGTACATGAGTATTATGGGGTACAAACTGTTCACATTTACAAGTACATGTATGATATATGAACATTTTCTCCCCATTATTGAGTTTGAATAATAAACAATGTCACGTCTGGTGCGATATCATTGAATAGTTTTCTCATTTCTTATATTGTCAAAAAATAGTTCCTGTGTCATTATTACCCTTGAAATATATTCATGACAAATATGCAAAACTTTTTTGATTCTTCCATAATCTTCCAAATCATTTTCTTTTTTGTTCAGAAAGTAGTAAATATGAAACACAGATTTATGAAAAGATTTGTCAATTTATATTATTTAAAGAATTTACGAGCAATTGAAAATGTCATGATAGCAAAGATCTGCAAATGTGACACTGGCTACGCGTCATCATTATCTTCCTACAAATGTAGTAGCCCAAACATATTTTCGACAACTGAAACAACATTCTATCTTATTTTCCTTTAATTGACTGGACTAGTTAAAGAAAACACAGAATGAAATCCTGTGCTAAAGGCTGATGTGAAAAAGAAGACCAAGCAGTTAAGATTCAATAACGATCACGATGAGCAAAATTTGAAAATCAAAACAATGAAAAATAATATAAAATCACCAAAGCCGTTTGAAACCAATACCTTATATGATTCAGTTTATTACAAAATTCCACCAAAACTCCAAGAACACAATTTTATGTAATGAATAATTGAATTATCTGAAATTGTACCATGTGATACAATTTAAAGTGTAAATGAATACTACTTTTAAAGGAGAAAAGAAACTATAGGATGAGATATTCAAAAATAATGTGTTAGGCGTTGGCACTAGATTTTATTTCTCATCGTTATCCCTCTCAACATTTGCGTTCAAAACGACACCACATAATGGCTTAGACAAAAGCTCGACCTTTCTGTTTCATATTTGACATTATACTGCACCGTATTTCTGTCTCAATCTAGTTCTGTTTGTCTGATATATCTCTATATCATATTATCTGATGAACAAAATTTCATGAGAATTATATCGTTCAAATGTTCACCAAGCTTGTATGTTCGCAAATGCAACTTTCGACAAGCGGCTACCCGATTAACCTATTATTTTAACTCATTCAAATATGAATAGTTCCTGTCAAAATTGCATTCTATCTAAATGAGTTGGTAATAAAATAATAGGTTAATCCGGTAACCGACAGGCGAAAGTTGCAAGCTTGGCCACCAGACGGAAGCTGGGTTGATTGTTTTACTCACACTATTTTGCATAAGATTATTAACTTATCCATGAATATACGTGAATATACAGGGACCTACGTGGATATACAGGGACTTGGAATTATGCATATATGCAAAAGAACTCGATTTTCAGTATTTGAGTGATCATACGTTTTCCAATTTAAATCACACAACGTACGCATATGACGTCATTGCACAAATGACATCATGTGAAACCTTGAACATCTCTGCTGCTTTAAAATGGTGAAACATGTTCGAGTATTGGACCACAACGAAACTTGAAGTTTAAGTAAGTACAAAGCATACAAAAACGCAATACATGACACAATATACAGCCTTTGTCTTCCAGGTGACATCATTTGTGAAACTATCGCCGATGACATTAGAAATAAATATGTTTTTGAAGGTTGGGTAATTGAAACAAGTAATTATTCATCCTAGTATTGGCCCCTGCAACTACAGTGCACATAGCGTATGTTTAAGAAGATAAAGTTCATGTTATGTGTCGAGGCTACTATCCAGTAAAGATATTTTCACAATATCATATCACAATATTTTTATTAGCTTGTATATTTGCATATTCGTTGTATATATCGGTGATGAAGATGGTACTCGTCAAAATACTAAGGTAAATATAAAAACATTTAAAAATGTTTTGGATCTAAATGGTATACTTCGTTACCTTTACCTTGAACATTCATCTGCTATCATCTGGGTAATTAATGCAGACAACTATGTAAATCAACATCGTAAAGATGCCAGCTTAATTATTTCAGAAATATATGTTCCTGCAGTTCCAAAAGAGTAGCATGGATTAGATCTGATATGTAAAAGTCAATGATTACAAAAACAGAATCAAATTTTCAACTAGCCTGGAATTTGGTTACTGTTGACATTAACGTTTTCCAAGAGATAATCTAAATATCAAGGATTGAATCAGAAGTAAAAGAAAACGGAGCCTATGTCGTTTGTTTCACCTTAAGAACAATCTGTCCCTAAATAACCTGAAATTAATCATATAATTATTGAGTACAATACGTCAAATGAGTATACGGTTGACATATGAAATACTCTAAGGCTACAATATTCTAAGACGCATAACAAAATGCCTTTGCTAAAAGTATTTCTAAAAGTTGCAATACAGTTACAATATACTGATTCTTCTTTTGACGTTGTCTTTCTGCTCTTTCATTTAAACATTTGAAATAATACCAAATGCAATAAATGGCTAAAGAGATAACAAAAACAAACAAATGATTCTTATTGGTCATTGCAATTTGTTAAAAAACAATAAAGTAAAAACTGCTAACACAAAATGTAGAGGACACAATTTAAAGAAAAATAAAATAGTTCATGTTATTAGTTTTCTATTAATAGCAATGATGACAATCGACTCTATTCTTTAAATAAAAATAATTTAAATATATTCATATTCATCTTATGAATACATACACATTTCAAAATCGGATAAATAGGCCCATACCTTATATTAATGATATATTTAAATTGACTAGAACTTTATAGTAAATACTACATTGTTTGACTGCACCCGAGTTTAGACTGTTTGAAACCCATACTGACCACTTCTACAAGTATATTGTTCTCATACATTGCTTCTGGGTACTATATGTTAGTATGACAGGTAATGAATTAAACAACATACGTTTAGATACAAACTGAGGAAACTAAATCTAAGATGGATCATGGTGATATCCAGTATGCATTAACATGTACTCCTTGGTTCACTAATCAACACACCATGGCAGACATTTTGGATAGTATAACTCGCACGTATTGATATGAAAGACGTATCTATTGTCTGTATGTAGACGTCAACCATGTATAATGAATATACTGTACTATTCCACATAATCATCAAATACATCTTTAAATTCAAGTAAGTGTACAAGTGTGTGTTCACTTCCAAATCTGGTAGACATTTTGTATTTATTAAACCCATGTAGGCGGTTAACCAGATACATGTGTTCCTAAATACAACATGGCTACAATATAATCCAATGAGTTGATACACTATATCCCGCCCATTACAAGCCAATACATGGTGGTCAAACAACATAGGAGTAGTCACTCCCAACATAGTCGTTGACACAAAAGGAATTTCATTTTCGGTATAAACTATTTGATAATACTGAAATTTCGATTTACTAGTCATCTATCCCTGAATTCAGAGACTATTCAAATGAATTCATGCAAGTGAATATTTTGACGTAATCTTCACCTAATGGAAATGATAATTTTAAATTGTGAATTATTCAATGCCTTTACATTATCGTAACGGAAATTAATATGCCATTTTGGAAATCCCAGCTCACTTATATTGAAGGCATAACGTCTGGAAATGACAATCACACAATTTGTCTACAACATGAATGCAAAGGCTTACGAATAATAGAGAAACGTTATCAGTCAAGAGTTCATATATGATAAAAGTAATTGTACGCCAACTAATGTATCTACCAAAAGCTTATTAAATTCCACTTTCATAATGTTGAAGTGCAAATGCAAATATCTTGTATA